CAAAAAAACCTATGGATGCCGGCCATGAAAGCCTACAACTTCACAGATGAGATTGTAGTTTGAATGGAATATAATAATAATAATAACAAGTTTTATTTATATTTCCCGCCTCTCCCTATGGATCGAGGCGGGATTACACAATAAAATGAATACAATGTACAAAATATAAACAATAAAATAATAAAAATCAGAATAATAATAATAGATTAAGAGAATAGAATACAATATAATAAATGAAAATAAAATAAAATAGGATAAAATAAAATAAAATAGCCAATCATTGTCAGAGTCTAAAAATCTGGAAGATCAGATGGATAGGCCCGCCGGAAGAGCTCTGTCTTAAGTGCCTTCTTGAAGGCTTCTAGAGTAGTAATAAGACAGATCTCCTCCGGCAGGTTGTTCCACAACTTGGGAGCTGCGACCGTAATGATATATTCTGCTATATCATTATGAATAAAGGACAGGATTTCATACATGGGAAAGGCTTTATGAAATGTTTGTATAATGCCTGAACAGACATCATAGAAATTATGGAAGGAATCTAATGATGAGGAATGACTAAAGTAAATAGCTTTGATGATGTTGTTAATCTATATGATAACTAGTACAAAGACTGTTAAAGAGCTGAATCGAGAGACAGTCCCTATGAAATGTCCTAATGAAAGTATAACATCATGATGGCCATATAATATGATGTAATGATGGCTTATATGCAATGTAATATGATCATGAAGCAAAGTGCCTAGACATTGCTATATCTGTGTTTCTCCCAAAGGGAATATATGTGTTTATATATCTATGAATATTTATAATAAACATCTTAAAGGTATTGAAAGAACCTGCTGAATTCCCATATAAATATCCTGAAATTCCAATACTTAAGAATTTTTGAGCAGAATGTCGATGTTAATTTACCCTTTCTGATCTAAGCACCATTATGAGTTGGGCTAAGGTGACCAGAAGTTTATAATGGGACCCTAGATAGAATCCAGAATTAGCTGACTATGGGCAAGGACCCTCAATCCCTCAGTCTAAGAAACTTAGGTGGAAAACCATGCCTGTTTCACTAACAACAGAATTTAGGCCACTGAGTGACATGAAAAAGTAACATACTGTTTGTTATTCATTTTGTTATAATTATTTGTTTACTGCCAAGGACAATGAATTGTCTACCACATGCAAAAATGAATTGGCTGGCTGTATATAGTATGTAGATACTATGTAGATACTATATAGAAAGCCAGAGTGGCATAGTGGTTTGAGTGTTGGACTATGACTCTGGAGAACAGAGTTTAAATCCCAGCTCAGCCATGGAAGCCCACTCGGTGACCTTGGGCAAGTCACACACTCTCAGCCTCAGAGGATAGCAATGGCAAACCCCCTCTGAAGAAATTTGCCAAGAAACCTCTTGATAGTTGCCTTAGGGTTGCCACAAGTCAGAAATGACTTGAAGGCATACAATAGCAACAGATACTATGCACCTTGATTTGGATGGTGGTGAGGTGGCAGCAAAATGTCTGGGTGGTAGAGTTGCAGATCTATTATGGCAAGTCAAAAACAAAACAAAACAAAACAAGGACTGATAGGGCAATCCTTACTGTGCTGACAGCCTGAGCAAGAGGGACCCAGGAGCCCTGCTCCAAGACATGAACAGAGAAGTTCCCTTGGAAATCCAGAGTTGTCCAAAACAGCAAATGCTGGAATGAATTATGGTTTCCTTTGATATCTAGGAGAAAAGAAAAGCACGGTAAAAGGGTGGCTGTAGGATTAGTCTGCAGAGATTTTCAAGGCTTAAGTTATGAATACAGCTCAGCCTTCCTGATGCACCAGACTACAACTCCCACTATCCATAGCCAAAAGATTATTGGCCATGCTGGCTTTTGATGGAGGCAGCTATTGCTCAAAGAGCTATAATGCACTAAGGGCCTTTGCAGACTGCCAGAAATAGTGCACATTAAATTGAGGCACTGCTCTCTGACAGAGAAGGCTCAATGTTCCAGAAAAAAAATACAATTCCCATGACTCCCTAGCACTGAGCCAGGGCAGTGCCTCAATTTAATGTGTACTATTTCTGGCAGTCTGCAAAGGCCCTAAGTTGAGGAGGGGTACTTTCTGCTCACATACCAACTCATATCCCAGTCCTAATTAAGCCGTTGTCGTCCCACATTTCCAGCTGCTTTTAAAATCTCCTCTCCTCTTATCCTTTTTGTCCTAAGCTTACCTCAATTGCTGCAAATTGAATTCAAAGTGTAAAAGTAATAATTGTACCCAATTAATTCAGCAGGGAGAGTAGGAGACAAGAGTATTGCCCTTCCCAGTAGGCTCAGGCAAAAGCAAATTGCAGCAGCCTCTTCTAGCTTGCCTGTTCTTCCTCATTAATACCTTTTATTGTCTTGACCACACTCTGATGTTGTTTGACCACGTGTGCCCCAGTTTCCATCCATGAAATGTTGGAGGGTATGGGATTAGTTGCTGAATTCAGAGGACATAATAAAAAAAGAGGGTGCCTCTGGTTGTAGTCCATTCCCCACCTCACCTCTGTAACTGGGAGTTTGGAAAGTTATAGGTCAGAATTATATATTCTAGCAAAGCTTAAAAGTTCAGCACTGCTCTTTTTTCAGAATTTATTTACCTGGGGGCCAGAGCAAAAGTGTTATGAACTCAGGCCTTTCCACATAAATGGTGCTGATGAAGGAGCAAGATAACCCTTGGTTTCTTCATGCACCATCCATCCCATCATCCCAATGCTGCCTTAATATGGGAGATCAGACTAGTCACGATGCTGTTTTTGCACTCAGCAATAGTGTCAATGCCATTTAAAAAGCAGATGCTGATCATTTTTCTTTTTAGATGACATCTGGCCACATTGGCTGTGGGAGCTAGCGTCTAAAAAAAGAAAACTAATTCTGCAATGCTCTGGTATTTGGGTTTTTTTCTGGGGGGGGGAGTAGCAGGCACACATGTATCCTAGTATGTGGAGCCTTTTGCCCTGTGTTGTTGCTCCAATCTGGCTGTGTCCTCTGCACTTATGATTTGCACTGCAGATCAAATCTTCTCTTCTTCTCAAAATAAACAGCAGTCACCGGCAAGTGGATGAGTGTGCCTATGCATGTACAGTCCAAATAAGGAACTCTGTAGAGGACAAAACCTCTACATTTCTTCATAGTAAGGTTCTCATTCTGGATCAGGAAAACCCTAATCATCTATTTGTTTTTCAAAATGTGTGTCCCCACCCCCTGCCACAAGGGTCTTGGGACTGCCAACTTCCAATGTCATTGTCCTTAGCTAATAAAAGCCACAAGGACTATCTCATCCTTTATCTTTTTAAGCTACTTGGGGACTCTTTTTCAGCTGAAGCATAGGGCTTTAAAAGTTTGCCTGATTAATCTACCTTCAGGAGTCTAACAAGGCACTCACCTCAGTGGCGTATCTAGTATATTTGACACCCTGTGTGGCTCATTTAATACCCCCTTCCTCTCTTCAACAGCTTTTTCTAGGTTTGGCAGATGTCCTGGCTGCGTGGGAAAGGGAGGTGACACTCTTTACCACGCAGCCAGCAGAGTCATCATACCTGAAAGGAAACCCCTTCCCACCAATGGCCACTGGTGAGGTGGGCTGCTCCTGTCACCCTGTCAGCTTTTCAGGTCTGGAGGAGCTGCTGGCCAGGTGGGAGAGGGAGGCAACTCTCTTTACTGCCCAGCCAGCAGAGCCATCAGACCCAGAAGGCAGCCCATTCCTGTCAACACACCAGGTGACAGCGCAATCTGAGATGTCACCCAGTGCAGTCTGCACCCCCTAGTGACACCCTTGACTCACCTTCCTGCAGACAGCTCTGGAGGTAGGTGCTTCCATTGCTAATTACCTACATGAAAAGAGAAAGTGTAGGTCAATAGGGGAGGGGAACAGTCAGGGTCGTTCCAGGATATTTTGTGTCTGAGGGAAAGGATAAGACGGCAACCCTTTCCTTCTCCATGTACAGAAAACAACTGAACAGGCAGCTGAATTTCAACACTGGCATTGGGACAGCAACATTCTCCACCACATCTGATGTTAGTTTATGGCAGAATCCCAGAAAGCCAGAATCCCACAGCCAGCTCTTCACAGACTCACTTAACTGCCCTACTGGTCAAAAAAATAACAAGGGAAGTG